GGGATGGAAGACTTGGCTATGGGCGCGAAGATCGATCCCACGTGTGTGCTGCAGGGCGCTTCCGTCCACTGCGCCACATTCGTCCTATTCTTCCGTATAGGAGTGAATACAATGCATAATGTGTTCTTTCCTTGATAAGCTTGCACGAGGTTGATATACATAGTTTTTATTCGGCCTACGTCTCGACAGTTTCGTCTTCATCAGAGCCGATGGTTCGAGTCGATGGTCCACAGTTGTTGAACAAAAGTGCTTAACCGAATAAAAATTATGTATCAACTCGTGTAAGCTTCTCGAGCAAAGAATGTATATTGAATAGCCATGCAGACGTTAGTCCAAAGGAAAGTCCGTTTTGTAATACAATGCGTGATATTTCGTATAGACGTGATCCACACTGGTAAGCTTCATTTCTTAATGCTACGTGATGTCATGTTTTCTTTATCGATAGAAGTGGTGTTTTATAATAATCAGAGAACACTTCAGCTCATTAGAACTGTAGTTGGAGAAGTACTGAAGCCTTTATTTATCCACTTCTAGTGCCTTTCTCTTCCTTTGTGTTCCTGTCTTTTCCAGCTTTAATCCTAAGCATTCTTATAATTTCGTGGCTTCAGTTCGTAGAAAATCTATACGAAGGTCTCAAATTTTTTTCTGTTTCTTCGATAATGGTGTAGAAGGTTTTCCTATATTTTGTAGCGTGGAAAACACGGACCATACTGGTGAATGGCGGGATTTGTGTTGCCGTGAATCAATATCCAGTGTGAAACGGTGAGTTCAAATGAACCTAATGCTCGATTTTAAGGATTAATCCGATATCTCTTTTGGTCTTTTGTTTCAAACTGATTTTAGGAAGTTTACATTTAGTGAGCTTACCTTATGTGCATTCATCTAACGGTTTCAGTTGTATCTGCGGGCGCGCTCGTAGAATGTCTCTAGCAAATCGGCCAAACGCCAATTAGGAATTAATGTCTCCTTCTTTCTTCCCATTTAGGCTCAGTAATACATTTTAGATTTAGAACAAGACTTCTGCGTTACTTTCATAGTTTGCCACAATCTGACGGGATTTTTGGTGATGAATGTGTTAAGTTGTTGTTGTTGTGTTTAAGTTTTGGTACGGTTTTTCTCTTGAAATCACAACTGGTGGGTCCGTCCTAGTTTGTAGGCATCGCAGATATGAAATCTTTTGCTGACTGTTGTCGCACAAGTCCATTTTAAGGGATTTCTGAACAAAAAATGAGTTCATTAAAAATGAGTTATATAAGCGCAACAGAAACCCAGGTATGTAAGGCCATTGAAAGATGGAGAAATTGACTAGAACAATGCTTTTGTTTTTAAATGTTCCAAAATTCTGGCGAACTATGATAGTATGTCAGAGCTCTGTTTATTCATAGTAGTCCCTGTAGGTATGACTATGAAATCGGACCAAAATCTCTGAGGTCGTTATTCAGCAGTGCGTTTGGTTGTATGTTGTTACTGCTTCCTTTTTGCTGCTACTTCTTCTATTCGATTTTCAGTGATAAGAAGCCAGTAGGACGCTTAGTTTCTTTCGCCATGTGATTTCCCTATTTTCATTGCGACTATTGATTTTTTTAGATTCTAGCCATTTAGAGAGTTCTGTGGCACTTTTATGTGGTAATAGGTCTAATGCACACTTGTGTCATATTGTCTTCTGAAATCGTCTATATTTCCAAGTGTATTCACACATTAGTTCTATACTTTTTATCTCTGAGCATTAGAATTTCTTACGGGTTATTTGGTTTGAATAATGGTTCTGATTTTCGAATAATTGAAATGGCGTCCAAAATAAACGTTCTTGAAAACAAATAACGGTACTGTAACATAACTCATCTAACAGTTAGTTGGAATAGGAACTTTACGTATCTATTTTCATCTATATACCGCTGGTATCATGGAAGGTCGAAGTCCCACTGCGACCACCTAAAGTTAGTATTCGGTTAAAATAGTTATGAGTGAGTTCACAAGGGTTTTCAACGGTATCCTGTTAATATGGTATACAAATATAGTTAGGTAGTTAGTTGTTCATGCCTCGCTCTGTTCTACGTCATATCTACATATGTGTTCTCATGGGCTGCTTTTGTTTAAGTGACCCGAGGTTGACATAGATGTTCTTACTGTTGTTGTTGTTGTTGTTGTTATTGTTGTTGTTGCTTGATGGCTGACGTTCTGGCGACTTGGCCTTCCTCAGAGCCGTGCTATTGAACCTATTGTTCACAAGGGATTATCGTGGTTGTGGTAGTGCTTCATGAAGTATTATCCTTCGTGAACAACACACGAGCGGTCCAACAACACGACTCTGAAGAAGGCGAAGTCGCCGAAACATCGGCCATCGAGCAACAACAACAACAGTAAGAACATTTATACCAACCACGCTTCAGCTAAACAAAATCAGTTCATAAGAACATGTGTGTGTGTGTGTATATATATATATATATATATATACATAGATATATCGATTATTATGCCGAGGCCTATAGAAAGTCGATCTTTCGAGTTATCTTATACGTCTTTTTCCCTTTGTGTGATTTCAAGTTAATGGTTAAGCTAAGGCATCCGTTCAAGTTGAATACTAGAACCAGGGCGGTAAAGGAGGCATATTGCCATCTGTTAAGCGGGGGACTTTTTGGGTTTTAGTGTGTTAAGTGGAAATATATGTTCCAAGAAGTATCGCAGTATCAGCCGCTAAAACAGTTGTCGTTCAGAAGTTTTATGGCAATGATGTTATAGATATTGTGAAGTAGCCTGTAAATTCTTTTTAAAATTGAACTGTTCATTTCTTTTATCGGGTTGTTTCACAGCAGTTCAGTGGATTTCGCATGAACACACGTTCTGATAGAGAGGTATGTTTATCACTTAATGATTGTTTGCCTAACTGCTATTTTTCCATTAGAAAACCATAAATATAAATGTAGTACGGTGAAGGGTAGGTTTATGAAGTTGTGAGCTACGAAGCCAAAATGGAGTTAAGAACAGTCGATTTTTGTTTTGCGCTTTGCTTTTTGAACCGAAGTGAGTTGGCGAGCCTACTTTTTGTTACTGCGACTGCGATGTCATTAGTTGGAACTCGCTTACTGCTACTATTGGAAGTAAGTAAAGTGTAGGAATGCCGTTTCTATGTACATGATAAAATTCCCAAGCTGTTCCTTACACATATAATGAAACAATTCCTTTAAGGTTTCTGAATTCTTTGGTTTTATTAAAGCTTCAGACAGAATTGGTAAATCATCCAGTCGTCTTTTTACATCCGTTTTAAAAGGTTCTGGTTATGGAAACAAATGTTTGATTTAGGAGGATTTCCCGCTTCACGTAGTCATCGACGTGTTTTCAGATCTTAACCTTCCCATTTTTCCCACTTCGTCATTGCAGCGAATGAGGTCGCTTGCATGTTTGAATCGAGAAGGTCGCTATGTCGCTTGCTTCTAATATCCTGTCGCCTTTTATCCAAACTTTTTTGCTTTTTTATTCACATGTAAGTAATCCGAAGATTCACGCATTTCTGGTTCATCTCTGCTTCATGATATCGGTGATTTAGGCTGTTCCATTTTTTGGAGCATTGATCGTTGCAAGTGGAATAGCGTTTCTCGTATCATACTATCTCTATGGATACGCTTCATCGTCTCATAGCAGGACCAGTTCATCTAGTGGTTCTCCTTCGAGTCAGTTTTTATTAAATTACTGAAATGGTGTTAAGGAAGCTCCTAAATTTAAGGCATGCCCGAACGCTTACCATTTAATCGTTGCCTTGAATGTAGCTGTTTTTCTATGCATTGCATCTATGTCATATTTTTACTTACATGAAAATGAACGGTAGTAGTTACAACACAATGATACATAAGGACCAGCACGTACCAAAGAGAGAACAGTCACAAAGAAAACAGTCAATCTTTTAAAATAGGGAATCTTCCTGTGGTTGACCCGCTCGATCATGACATTGGGAATAGTGCGAACCTACTTGGATACTTGGGCACTCGGGTGGTTGTGCGGACCCCAGCATAATCTCCTTTTTCTCAGAATTTTGCTGCTTTAGCCGTTGTTCTCTGGACTGCCGAAGTCAGCTAGATTAAAGTCTGCGCTGGTCGTCACAACCACAGGCAGTCGCGGCCATTGTGGATCAGAGGGAGATTTTCCAGCATGCGACTAGTTTGATACCAGAACCGTGGTGGATCCTGGTATTGGTTTAATCTTAGTTAGGCCTCCTGATGGAAACGCCGGGCACCTTTATCACCTTAGGAAACCCTACCGGGGCATGCATCACCCCTTCCCTCTTTAGATTGCAGCTCGACACCCAGGAACACCTCCCAGTCACTATTAGGCGGTAAACCGTTGGGAGGTAGTGCGAACCTAGGAAGTAAAACTTCACCTTTCCACAATTTTTTCGTAAACTTGTGAAACCATTAGGTCTCCTCTCTGTTCCATTGCACACAGATATTTTTTGGAAAAGCGAATCTATTGCTTATGATGTTTTCTCTAGGATTGCTAGCCATTTTGTATACATCTGATTTTATAAGACCAATAGTACTTCTCAGCGAAACGTTTATGGGTTTAACCTTTTTTATCAAATCCGTTTATTTTTCATGACTGGCTATTGTGTGAAGTACGACCACAACGATGCTGAGATATTTGCAAAACTCGGAACCCTAGAACAGATTCGAACTGGTGATTACCTTTTCCGGGGGCTTACGTGTTCCCCACTGCACCACCGAAGCCTTGGCATTGCCTTTTCCTCAGTTTTTTAGCCTAACGATGCCATCGGTAATCACCCATCAGCGGTAGTGCTCTGAGGAGCAGAAATCACCTTCGAATCCAGTCAAGCTGAAGCTGCAGTCGAAACCAGAACGTTTAGCCTTCCATGTATTGCCTGTTTTAATGGGTTATTTAACCTCAAATGCTCAACATCTGATAGCAAATGCCTATTTCTAAATTTTTTTCTGTTTATGTGTATGCTTTACTACTGTTCTCCTTCAGGAAGTATCAGGCGTATACGGTCGATGACCATTCATGAAAGCGATGAAGACACTCCGGGAAGTGTTAAATCTTCTAAACCGTGCTCAATTGAATTGCGTCGAATGCGTAAGCGGGATTGGGCTAAGAAACTGTACAAGAGCCTGCTGGTAAGTATAGTTCGTTTTTTTTTGCGATCTCTATTTATACCTTGAAAGAGATTTGACAACGCTCCTTTTAACTATGTTTTTACCCGTTCCTTCTTACATCTATTAATTAGTACCATTTGTTGTTTCGTCCTCCGAGCACTCACACGGTGTAACATCAATCATAACAAAATATGATATTAATGAAATTTCATAATATTCTTACGTGATGTTTCAAAAGTTCTTGAGTTTTCCATATTTAAATTTCTTAATATTAACTCGTTTTCTGCTTTAAGAAGAACGATTCTCCCAGCCGTCATTCTTCTGACGAGTCAGACTCTAGTCAAGAAAGAAATATTCGTCCACGTCCTCTAAAGCGTCGCCATTCTACTTCTGGTCCCCTGCAAATCGCCAAAGAGTAAGCAATGTTGTTATTACATGTCGGAAATGAACAGATTATGACTGGAGGGTGCGTTCATGGAGAGTTAGTGATGTATTGTAATGCTTCAAGACGATTCAGTACAGAGAAGACTTCTGTACTTCTTTATAGTAGAAGCACTGTCAAGTACTCTCTCTGTCGCTTAATAGTTTTTCTAGGGTTTGTTGAGTAATAGATCGGCTAGAATGTGTTGTTTGTACTTTGTAATAGCGTACTTTTTTGAACCAGCCTATTTTTAATTTCTTATCAAACTCAAATGATAACTCAATCGAAGGGCAAAAACAGACCCTGTTATTTGGAATGCTTTAGAATTCTTGGCAGTCGTGACCATAGAAAAATTTGCCTACTATTCCTAGTTTTCAGAGGGTTTTTTTCTGTCTTGGTCAGATTTCCTACAATCTATCCATCATGTCCCCAAATTAAAAGCTCTTTTGAATATCTGCAGTACTTTTACCTAACTTTTCATTCTTTAGTGTTAGGCATATATTATTTCTCATCGTTTAGTCTGATTCGTCGCAGCAGCCGCGGTTATTTCCGCCACACATCTGAAATTCGCGATAAACTTCCACGGCCTCCTCAGGAATTTTACGAGCCAAGCGATCTGCCGGAAATTCCGCAAAATCTACAGCCAGAAATCTTTTATGTTCTTCATAACCTAAAGTATGGGGTATTTAAATTACGTTATGGAAGCTTTCTTCTTCTTTTCAATTTAACAACTACTTAGCTTCACATCGAATTTTCAGAATGCTCGAATTACCAGCGGAGTGGAAGCTGGATCCGCGGGACATAGAAGTACGTAGTTTTGCTCGTGGTGATGTTATAGTACGTCCCGGTGAGCCTGATGACAGCATTTACGTTGCAGTACATGGTACTCTAGCAGTTTATATTGCGGTGAGCTTTTTATTGAGTTGCATATGCGTTAATTCTGAGGTTTTTAGGATACTCACTGGTTGATGCGAATAGTCATGGTTTTTTAGCTCTAGTAGTTGGCCTGCAGTTTCCCCCTAAGTAATAAAGTGAGACCTGTCATAAATTCAGTACTCTGTTACTGTTTACCTTTTACTGTTTCTAAGTAGATTTTGAAAGGTAACTTTGCAAATGAACTGTGCCGTCTTAAACATCTGATGGCGAGTTTTTGAAGTACCTTCATAGGTAACTTATTTTGCATCACCAAGCAGTTCTTGTTTTCAGCATAAAGAAGGGAAAGATTACCTCGTGAAGAAGATATCACCAGGAAATAGCTTCTTTTCTCTACTATCGTTGCTTGACGTCATGATGGTCTATTTTTAATACTTTCTTATTTAATATGAATATTTCTTTTCGTTCATTGCAAAATTTTCAGAACGCGCCATCGTTCTTTAGAACTGTGTCATTAAGAGCAGAAGAGTCATGCACTGTTGCCAAGTATGTTCTTAGAACGCCTTAGAAGCTTAAGCGATTTGGAAAACAGTGGTGGATGATGTGAAATGGAACTCCTCATAAAATTTTCTTGGAAATGGATTTTTCGAATTCAGCGATGCTGGAATGAATACCTAATGTTGTTGGGGAACGTGAAAAGTCCATCAAATCAGTGTTGCATGACCTTGCTAACTGTTACAAGCTTAAGTGTCCACAATTTCTTTTCAAATTGTCTTATGAAACGTGTGTGTTGCATACCTTTTCGTTATGATGGCTAAGGAGCTCTTCAACTTTTTTTTTAGGTTTCCTATTAAAACTTTCCGCGAATCCTACAATATACATCCGAAAGCGTGGATGAGACCTGTTCAAGTCGTCCTAACGAGATTGCTTCATGTTACAATGGCAACTTTACATCAGTACATGGGCTTAAGTGCAGAACTCATGAAGAGGGTGAGAAGTTACCGTGTTTTATCTCTATTGTTACGATGTATTTATCTTATGCGCAACTGGATTCGTGGAATGTTTTTTCTGTCTTTCCATGGTTGCTTCCTTATTTAAAAATATTTAAAAAGCAAACTGTACCAAAAATCTGCTCATCTTGTTTCTTAAGTGATGGCTGTGCGTGAATGTTACAAATGGATTTTTCATTACTGCCCTCGCGAATTACGTATTATTACTGAGACCACAGCTGGTACAAGTGTTGAGCGTAGAAATATTCCTACACGCATGGACATGTTTGTGGAACTTCCAACGAAGTGACCAGAAAAGTTTCTGGTCAACCGTGAAGAAACTCCAGTGCTTTATGAACGAGTTTATCTCGAGCTAGTTAACTGAAAGCATTGAACTCAATGAGTATGAGGGTAATGCTGGAATCTCGTGGGCATTCTAATACTCATGTATCTGAGAACACCGTGCTATTTATCTGTGCCCACAAATATTGGAGCATTGAATTGTAGCTGAAAAAAGAACACGCTGTCAATCAAACGCATTTATTGATAGTAGAACATTGTTACGCGGAATATGCGGTGGTGAATGAGTAGGCATTGGTGTCCTTGTCAGTAGAAAGTTGGCCATGAACATGAACAGTTCAATTCGGCAATTCATGGTCTGAAAGATGTGAAACAATGCTACAAGAACAAGATAATCGCTTTTCAATGCTTAGAGTGTGTAAACCTGCGTGTATAATAGAAGGTCAATAGAGAAGTTTATTCAATTCTCTTATTTTTATGGCACACCAGACACCTGCCTCCATATTATGTTATAAAGGATGGATATGTCGACATGACTCCTTCTTTCGAAATGCGATTTACTATCTCGACCGTAAATAATGGCAACACTCGTTCATGATATGATTATACAGTCAAGTAATAAGCGTGTCAGTGCCTACGAGCACAATAGACCCGACTTTCAGTTGTACGTGTAAGAATGCAATATCATTCAGCCACCGTGTTGTGCTTTACATAAAAGTTCCTAACTCAAGTAATCCTTAAAGGAACTAGGGGAACATTAAATGAGGGACAGCAGTGAGGGCAAGAAAGGTTCCAAAAAGTGTTCACTGGCATGGCTCATATCCACGCGATAGCGAATCTTGTTGAATGATAGGAAATAGTGAGATGCCGGCTTGCCTATCGTAGAGTTGAAAAAAGCGTTCGGCCCAACTAAGAAAAAAACGATCATAAAAGACCGCATCTCTAACACTAGATGAAGTCATTTATGGGGGAATTCTCTGGACCGAATTTCACTGTTCCATACTAACATTATCATCGCCGTAGAGAGTGACTCGATATTTGGTTACCATCTCACCAAAACTGTTCATTCGATTTTAATAAGGCTGAAAATATGTGATACAGAAATGAAAGTTGACGGTTGGCACTGTTTTTTTTTTCACATTCTTCACTTCACTCATGACTTTTGGTACGTTATGCGCTTGAACGATACTCAAAGAGTAAGAGCCGTTAGAGGCCGGTCCAGCGAAGTAACAAATTCGCAAAAGGAGTACCATAGAACAATTGGTTAGATTCTTTCACGAAAACCCTAGAGGAAACGTGCAGTTCTATTCGTGGTCCTAGAGCGAGCAGAATCCACCCAACGACTTTGACCGGACAACTGAACCTTTTAAGGGCAGGTAGCGCAGTGGAAGTGATGATGGTCACAAACACGAAGCTGGTTCGACTCCTCCCTTCGGCTCACTAGGCCTTTCATGCTTCCGAAACCGGGAAATTAGTACCGGACTTGTCTGGGAGAAATTCACTCCCTACAATCCAGGTAGAATACACACCACAAACATTCAACGACATTCATGTCTAAAGGAAAATTCTCAACTGGCAGCCAAATCCACAGGCAAGAGCTGAGGACTTTGTTGAGTGGTAAATACGGCGAAACGAATCGTATACAAAAGTGCTGGTATCTGCACTGTGGCGATGGGTTATATAAAATTCATTTTAAAAAATAATGGAGCTTTGCTCTATAAGTGCTGGCACCTCTATAGTCAGTAGTTCATCAAGGGGAGAACAAAGGTTTTTGTAGATAGGAATGTTGCTAGGAAACTAAGTTCAGGAGGTAAAGTAGTTTAACAAATGGAAGAAATTCAGGTACGTTTAGTCCTTCATGTTGCAGAAAGATAAGCCTTCCCTCAATAATTCGCTCAGCTATATTTTTGATACATAATATTTAAGCGATGTGACGTTGGACTCGATGATCGTTCTCGTTATCCCAGCGGACCTATGCGACCACTACCTGGAAGCTTGTCCTCGTCGCACAAAAAGAAGGAACCACGCTTGAGCAGCACAGATGGTCCATTTTTCAATAATAAAGACTTGAGGAACGAGGTGTTCCATCTATTTATTTATTTGTTTCATATGCTTATAAAATATGTGTTCCAGATATTGCTGAGCAAATTATCATAGCTCGACGATGGTTCGCAGAGGCACTAGGTCTTGTGGGACCTGATGGATCGTCCTTAATAGAGCAGATAGTGCGCATACATTTTCTTTAGTCGTTCTGTTTCACAATTACTGCCCATGCTTATTTTTAAGGGTGATGTTACTATTCGCACCTATGAGGAAGGTGATGTACTTATTGAACAAGGATCTCAGGAGGAGCAACTTATTCTTGTGTTATCTGGCTCCCTCAAACTCTCACAGGTTTGTCTGTTGCGTGATGCACAGTTTGCAAGTATATTACTTTATGAGCAAATACAACATGTAATTCTGCTAACCATCGATTTACTTGAGCGGGCACTGGAAAAACTATCATTCGCCTTATCAGAACTGGTCATACACCGGCGTAATTTGTCGGTCTGTCGCGAAACGCACATTTCGCTTGTTTGTAGTAGGCAACGCTCGTCTTCCCTCGTAACCGGTACTTTTTGTTTTTGTTACATGATGCGACGTTAAATTTATCGAGGATCAGGGTCTTCGAACAATTCTGGTCGAGTTGATTCCTCCTAGAATTCTGTGTTCGCCTGTATCACCTGTAGTTCCTTTGATCGTCGAGTAACTTAGGCGAGGGCCAGTAAATCTTCCACTTTTCCCTGTCGCATGGAAAAGTAGCTCAGTGGGTTCTGCTTGCTCAAGGGACTCGTTGAGCATCATACCTTTCTTCTACGCTTTTCGTGAAGAACTCTAACCATCGGGTCGGCGGTTTTCCTGCAATAGGTTTGACATCCCGAGGAATCCAGTTACCAACGGCTGTTGTCAATTGGTTGTCATTCATACGCATTCTTTGTCCTCTTCACTACATCCTCGATGCTCTTGAAAGCTCCCCAAGCCTCTCGTTTCCTTCTGCTCAGATCTGGAGTTAAGTCGTTCAATATGTTGATTTCTCGACTTAAGTAGACGTAACTGGAGCGTTCGAAGATATTCGTTCCGTTGAGCGTGAATGGGAGCATACTTATCCAATCCGTCCCTTATGAACATTGTTTTGTTAGATTTAGTCGAAGACCAATCTTTCCATAGGCTTTATCAAAGTAGGCAAACATTGTTCTGCCTAGCTAATGTTTGGTATTATAAAGACGGTGTCATCAGCAAAGCGAAGATCGTGTAATTGCTAACCGTCGATTTTCACTCCCATGTTGTCCCGTTCCAATGTTTGCGTGACGTTCTCGAGGATGGCGATAAATAATTTTGACGAGGATCTTGAGTTAACCAGCCTAAAGCTTACCCAGGTGAATTCGAAGGAGTGAGATCGCAGAAAGTTGGTACTAATTCCCCAACTGCTAGGTGAAGATAGACTTGGTGGACACGGGCGGAGTCAAGCCAGCGCACAGGTTCGTTGAGCCGTCCGCCTAAAAAAGGAGATCATTACCACAGCTCTGTCCGTTTCCAATACTGTTACATGAATTTAATACATTCTTTTACATATATTACCGCACTTTGTGGTTCAATATTGCATCTGTTTAAGTAATCAATATATTGTGTCATATATATTCTATGTTATGTCATCTTCTTAAACGAATTTATCTAAGTGTAGTACTGATGGCTAGACCCATCTTTGTGAATCAGGTCTACTTGTTCGAATGTTTGAAAATTACAACTATTTTTCTTTATTTTACTTTAAACGACCCGTCTTTCACGTCTACTGTGTGGATCACAGCACTTTTCACATTTAATTCGTTTCCTCGCATCACTCATTCACGATGGTTTTCCAACTTTTACATACCACTTCTGCTGCTGCTTGCGGGTTTTTCTTTTCATCTTGAATGCCGTTGAATGTTGCTCGAGTTTATTCTCCCGGGAGACCTGAAATAGCCGAGCGTTGACGTTTGCACTTCGACTGCGGAGACTTTTTCCCAGTCAAGTCCAACATCAATTTCCCGACCTCGGAGGGATGAGAGCTTGGTGGGCTCGGAGCGGGATCGAACTAGCACCCTGCTTGTGATGATCGGCATCACTACTACTGTGCTGTCCGCCTCCCTACGTTAATTACAAATTCCAATGCTTATTTTTATTTTTTTACGGTTTTGTTTCTTCTGCAAGACAGGTCATTGTGTAGTTTTAATATATGCTTTTATACATATATATATATGTATATGTACATTTATATATATATGTATGTTTATGTATGTATACATGTACATGTATATATTCATATGTATATATACATGTACATATATATACATACATATGTATGTATGGTCGTTATTCGCGTTTGCCTTGCGTTGCTTCCACGCCTGACAGTCATCAGTCATGGTTGTGACTTCGAATACTGCTGTTCTTATCAACTCGTATGCCCATTTGTCATTGCTCTTCCACTATTCAGGTGATCCGCATATTGATGTTTCACTTTAGATACACGTTTCCTTGGTTAGTGAAGAATCGCAATAGTGCCATGTTCTGAATTACGGAACCCGATTTGATATTAGGTATTTCGCCTTGTCTCCCATAATTTTCTGCCATTTCCACCTTCTATGTTACACATAACAGTTTTTTTTTGCAACCGAAGCTTCGGCGGCGTAGCACAAAACGTGGCCAAGGGGGCATGAGATGCTGGAGTTTAGCTAATCCGTTGCGAATTTCATAAGATTGGGATCGGCTAACATTGCTATGTCTTCTGTATCTGTTTTCCGTTATTTTTTCTTTCTTCGTTCCTCAACTGCTGCAGTGGCTTACACAGTAGTAATTGTACAGTTCATCTCATCGTATCCATAAGCTATTCGAACATGAATTTGTCGTTCTTGTGAACCCATTTTCGTTTTTAAATAGTATATGTTTAGTAGAACATTTGTATATTTAGACGCCATAATGCAATAGTGAGATAAGTGTGGTGGTCGAGAATTGGCATTGTTTTCGAGCTTCTGCGAGTGAAATCTTCTTTTGGCTGGTGAATATTTCCTTGTTTTTGATTTTTTGAAACGTGGTTAGATGATGCGTCATGAGACCAAAACCTTTGAGAAGACCAAGGGTTAAGTCTTTGCATTGTATGTGCAACAAGAGACATATTTGTAATGGCTGTCGTTAGATCTGTCGTTGTTCCTCGGAACCAGAATGGAAACTGGGCATTTGATCACCGGTTGCCCTACTATATGATATGCTGATGGGCCTATCATTTTGATTATTTAGCTTGTTGTCTCCTGGATGCGTGAACCTTTTCCATAGTTGAAGGTTGTACTCTCGATACTCCAGCCTGCGTTGTTTTCGTTGCAAAAATGATGGTGTGGCAGTAATAATACCTATGAAGATACCAAGCAGCAATCCGTAACTCATTCTTCACTGAGAAGTTAATTCGTTACAACTTGGGTGTGAGAATTTTTTAGCCGTTTGTCGATTTTTAAACTATCCTCAGCGTTAATCCATAAACAGCTTGTTGGTCCACGAGAGCTAAAGATAAATTTTTACCAAATGTCACAACATGGAGTTATTGTAAGCTGCGATCACCTAAGAAATTTCAAGATTATGTACAAAGTTACATGCAAGAGATGTACTCAGTTCTGGAAGTGTTTGTTTTAATTATGTGCTTACGTAGTTTCATTTCTTTGTAAGGAACCCGTATTTGACGAGGAACCACAAGAAGATGATGATAATACAGTATCTCGTCTCTTTCCTCGTGATTTGATTGGTGGTCTTCAACTGCTCACAAATGAACCGTCTTTCTACACCGTTTGCGTCGTCAGCAAGTCTACGGTCGCGATTCTGGGGAAAGCAGAGTTTAACCGGTATGCGACCGTACACAGTTGTTTCCTCTCTTTTTCTGCTTTTTTTTGCAAACGGCATAAGTAAGGACGGTTTTCCTTATAAATCATGTTCCATGTTCATACAGGTGTGAATTTAAAATACCTCTCTGCTTGTTTAACACATTGGTGATGACATGAGTCATACGTAGCTCATGAATTTGGGGACGAACTCGCCAGCCCGAGTCATAAATTGCACGTTTTCTGTTCGACCCTTTATTTCGTCGCGCAGAGCTTTTCGTTTGTGATCGTTCGATGAGTTATCCCATGCAGATACCAGGGGGAGATGTCTGCATAAAAAAAGCTCTGTTCTGTATTTAATAATAGACGAAAGTCCTTTTTCTTTGAACAAATGCGTCGGCTGTTACAATACAGTGAAATCCGAAACGTAGGGCACTCGCCACTGCAGCATGAGAAGAAGTCACAGAGGAAACTTGTTTAGATGTGTTTGTAGTGTATGCATAGACTTAACATGGATACACTGCGCAATCATATGTGTGTAGAGGGCATTTTTGAAAAGCGTACATGTTTTCAACTGTTGTGCTCAAAAACAACTATATCGCAGTATATAATTCCTATAGTTAACCTTTCCGCCACACTGTTTACATTTACGGTTTCCGTACAACAAAAGCCATTGCAAATTTATAACCCTTGCAATTTACAATCCTCCTCTACAGTTTTACAACCTATAACTTTTTCAGTTAGCCCTTAGTGTGATACTTATTGGATCAATCTAAAGAAAACTATTTGTCACATTGGCCACATCTAGTTATCACCTGCTTGATTTGTATCCAAGCAGATTTCATGTTATAACATCAATGTAGTTTTTAATAACAGGCAATACAACTTCTCGTCTCTTATTGTTGTTCGCAATCCTACAAAATAGCTCCTTGAGGATGTGGTTTATCGCACTTTGTTCAGTTAGATCGGACTTGAAGAGGTTTAAGCCTTGAATTCAAGCACTTTCACATTCTGTAGGATGTCGCAGTAGATTATCAATGCCATACTTGTCCATTTTATAAGATGTTTGTTCTTTAAATTTTGTATTTATTTTCTGGCTTATGGGATGTATTAACTGAACGCTCTCTTTCTAGAAGGTATGCGAGACTCGTCGATGCATACGTTTTTCCTAGGTCTTGCATGCAATCTGACAAATTCGACTAGCGAACTGATTTCATATAGTATTTCTATCATATAGCAGAATATTTTGAATATTTTGAGCTTTTGAGATCACCAGAGTGACTATAGTTACAATATGGAGTGGGCAGATATAGACTTGGTGAGCCATGGGCGCGGAGATCGATCCTGTGTGTCGCAGGGCGCCTCCGACCACAGCGCCACACGCGCCACATATATATATATATATATATATATACCTGTATGTATACTTATTGGTTAACTAAGTACCAAAAACGGGCAGAGAATTTGATTGGATAGTAGACGAATTTTTTCCATCATATCGATGAGTAGAAAGTGTCTTCAAAGCACTGGTTAGTTGACTATAGTCGCATGTGGTTGACGACTGCACCATCGCACATCAAAGCGTACGGGATCAGGTCGCGTATGACCTCCGGGCATTCGTCCCTGCTATTCATTGTAGGGTTTTTGGCATTGATCTGGCATACCTCTAGGAGTTTTCGCGCTGGTGTTTTGGACTCCTGTGCAAGGATATTGACTTTTACTTCAAAATCGTCTCCG